GATCGAGTACGCCCTTCTGCGTAACGTCCACGCCGCGGTGTCCAAGCGGCAGCTTGATGCGCAATGATGTAGATCCTCTGCTGCAAGTCTACTGCCTTGTCTGGGATTCAGATCGTGCTAGCGGTCGTCATGTACAAACTGCTTTCTTCACTCCAGGTCACTGTCGGGTGTTCTTCCCCCGATTCTTCCATCGCTTCACGCTGTAGCGCCAAGAACTTCGATGCTGTCGGCCGTTCAAAATACTTCGCTTGTAGAGGCGAAACAACCACCAGTTGTCGCACTCGCGCTACTTGCGCGGGCCACTCCCTAGCGGTTCAGCAAATCTGCCCAGACGTTGGCATCCTTGGCTACGTGCTCGAGGGTGTACGGGAACGTCGTCATGGCCATGGCCCACCGCTACAACTTGTGGGTTGGTACCGCGCCATGTTGGAGTTGTAGCCCAACGGGTTGAAGATGTACAGCAGATTCCGATGATCCGTGAACAGTTGGAATCCCTCCTGCCGCAGCAGGAGGTACTCGAGCCGTTTGCACGACTCCACGATCGCAAACACTTCCTTCTCCACCGTCGGCCGACGAGCGCTGCACCACTAAAGAGCCACTCAAAAACACCGTCGTACAAAAGATCGCCAAACAACTTGTTGACGACAGACTGACTGTACGTCACGGCGTCAGTTTGTCCCAAAATATTCCAGTTGGGGGTATACACGCCAAAAGGCGTCATGAACGAGTACTATATCTGGCAAGCGGGATGCACCGGAAGCTACCAAGATATCTTCAGCCAATGCAGCGTAAAAACAACCTTCATATCGCCCAGCGATGCCATGGCTGCGTCCAAGGTTGGCATCGGGACTGTCCACGCGTTGATCGGTCTTGAATCGATCGTCATACGGTATTTACCGGGCTCCTCCTTGGCGACAATTGTCGGCGCAGCCGCCCAGGTTGCGCGATGGTTCGGGTAGACATGGCCCCCGAAACGAGCTCGCCCAGGTAATTCATGTGGGCAGGCAGGTACCGCCGCAGTGACGTCTTCACAGGGACCGCGCCTTCCTTCAGACGTCCCATCAACGGATCCACATCCACCGGCAAGTCCCGACGAACCTCCAGGCGAACACATGGATGTACTGGGTCAGGTTGCGCCTGAGATCCACTGCTTGCACATCCGTAAGGCCTCGCTTCACGGCCTTTGCTACCTTCTTGTCGAGGATGCGCCGTATCTGCACGTCTGGGTTTGCCGTCTTCTCCATCGACGGGTAGAGAATGCAACCTCTTCGACGCTGTCCAACTCTATAGCGTCGTCACCATACGACTCCCGCAGGCGTTGGACGTCTCTTGGTGTGACTTCACTGTCGCCCAAATCGCCGACTCCAGAGGTTTGGTGCTGCTTGAGCGCATCCACGAGCATGCCATCAACCGAAAACCCGAGGCGATCCATAACAGGTCGACCGATCAGGAGATTGATCTGCGGCGATTTTACGTTTACCCAGGGTTTACCCAGGCTTTCAACCCACGGAGAGCCAAGGGTTCAATGTACGTCTCCAAGGTTAGCGCCTTGAACTGTTTTCCATGGCATTCACACCTCGACGACTGGAGTAAAGCTCGTCCATCGATTCTTCACCTCGCCGTCGGTGATGCCGGGGTGTTCGCGGACACGGTGCTCAGTAGATAGACACTTCAAAAACTTGACCTTAAGCCGCTCGAACCCAACTTTTTTGTCGGTCCTAAGGGCTCCATGCATAGTTGGCGCAGCAATTGATATCTTGCCGTTGCTGCCGTGGCTACGACCGTAGTCTCGAGGGCTCTGGCGCTGCTCGCTCCTCGGCCGCGTTTCCACAGATGTGGCGGTTTCTCTTCATCCACACCGCCATACACCTGGTACCCAGAAGCGAACTGCCGCGGCCACTTGATGAAACGAAACACGTTAGACTTGAGGACCTAATTTCGCTACAATTGCAACTCTTTCGTAAAGCGCCACTTGCAGTGGCGCAGGTTTGATCGCCTTCGTGATAATCCCCACAACGAGTTTTCCTTCTTGATGCAGCATCCACTCTTGGCCATCTCGTCGAGAGAGCGCATCAAGTTGTCCAGGATTTGACTCACTCGACTGTCTGCGTCGAGGATCTTCATGTTGAACTGCACGGCTAATTGCAGACGCCTCTTGAACGCGTCCAACTCTACCGGCTCTTCGTCGCGGGCTTCCATGAACCAGGTAACCCACTCGGCTTCAGTCACATCGCCATGCGACTTCCCCAGGTCGAACATTGCAATGCGCCGCTTGGAGAATAGGTCCATGTATGCACCCCCAAGCATCAGGAACGGCCGCTGACCTGTCGACTGCAATGCCTCAATCTGCGAGGTATACCGCTGATACTCTCGCATGAACGCCCGACGTTCGGCCGTCGTTGATCCGTTGAACAAAAGAGGTAAAATATAGAAAATAAGGAATAGCCGGTGCGTTCAGCACACGGACTCCAGTATCTTCTCCCTGTCGACGTCCTCAGCCACACTTGTCGCTGAATGCGTGTAGGCAGGCAGAGGCGTCTCAGCACCCGATACAGAGGCTGTAGACTGTACCACCATTGGCACATGCCTCGCGTTGTCCTCTTGTCCCACTCCGCGCCAATCGATCGGCTGTGGCTGGGTTCTTCGAGGAGACCCAAAAGAACCGCGAATTCGATTATGCTTTTGCCTACAAAGGGAGAACAATAGAACTTTTTCTGCCTACGAAATGGAATTACCCCTGCCCCGAGGCCATGGTGGTGGTTGGGCATATCGGCCTCGTGTCCATGGTGGTTCGGAGAAGTGTCAGTGGCTTCCATCGAACTTCGAGAAAACTTCGATCGAATTTTTGGACGACTGTAACTTTGAGCGTTGGATTTCTCGACAATAGAGTGATTTTGCAACAAGAATGTACACAACTTTTCCGTTAGAATTTTCCGGAAAAGGCCACGGGACTTTTCTTGTCACCAATTGATTTTGCAACAGGGAAATTTGAGGGTTTGGAGACACGGATGGAGGAGGACCTCCTGCTCCTGCCACTGATACAAGTCGCCATAGAGGTCCTGAAGGAGCTGCTCTCGCTCCAGGTATTCCTCTTCAGTCCCAGATGCACGCATCGAATTTACAGTCTCC